CTTATCCCTACCGCAATTCTCTGATCCCCATCCCATCCTCTGAGCCCCCTCATCCCTACCCCGATCCTCTCACCCCAATCCCATCCTCTGACGCCCCCCATCCCGATCCTCTGAGCCCCATCCCCTCCTCTGAGCCCCCTTAGCCCTACACCGATCCTCTCACCCCCATCCCATCCTCTGTGCCCCCCTCATCCCTACCCCGATCCTCTCACCCCCATCCCCTCCTCTGAGCCCCTTCACACTCCCCCTCCACCCCCGCGCCTCTCACCTCCCGCTCCAGCGGCCAGGCCTCGCCGCCCCGGGAAGTGATTCCTCCCAGCGCCGCAGGAAGCGCTTCCTCCCTCCGCTCCCGTAGCAACCAGCTCCGGGCCGGCGTTGCTAGGGCCCTCCCACACCCCGCCGCGCCGAGGGGGCGGGACAGGGCACATGTGACCCCCTCCCCCCCGCGTGCATTGGCATTTACCCGCGTTGTGCCCCCACCTGAGCGCTGGGGCCGCCTGGGGGGAGTGGGGCTGCGCATTGAGCGCACAGACCCGGGCCGGTTCCACGAGCCGGAGGGCAGGGAGCGGCCCGGCCCATGCCTGCAGGGTGGAGCTGGGCCTAGGGCGTCACGTACAGGGCTCGGACTCAAATGGGGCCCCGATCCTGCAGCCAGCTCCCCGTGTGTGCTAATGCTATTCCAATAGTGGGGTGTTTTCAAATTAGATATTTGAGCATGAGCTCTCCTCACCCTTGTCCTGGCCCTGGAGGTCCAGGGGACTCAGACACTTGCAGGGATGGCCAAACTGGCTCCTTTAAGTGCGGCTCACAGAGCCCCATCCCACTGCTCCCTATTCGCCACCTACCAGACTGGGGCAGGGGGAGCTCAGGGCTTCTGCCCTGTGAGGATGGGGGAGGGTCTTGGGGCTTCAGCCCCATGGCAGGCACCTGCTGGGGTTCGGGGCTTCAGCAGAAGTGGGGCTGAAGCCCCAAACCGCAGCAGGCGTGCGCCCCACATGGCTGAAGCCCCGAGCCGTGGCAGGTGCACCCGGCTCTCGAGCTTCTGAAGATTATCGTATGGGGCTCGAAGGGTCAGTGAGTTTGGCCACCCCTGTACTATGGTAATGGGGACACTAGAGAACCTGAATAGAACAAAGAGTTTAACTTTCTGCTCCATAAATATATTATGCTAAATCTAAGTGAGGTCCTAATTATTCCCCCCACTCTATTCCCTTCATTTTGGGGTTACCATTTTTTTCTTTCTTCCTACTCCTAATTCCTGGTCCCTCCTCTCTCTTCCTTCTCATAGGTTTGCTCAGGCTATTCTGCAGCTGGTGGGGTTGCTGGAGTTGGTGGCCATTTGACTGGATAAGCCTGTCCCCTGTAGGTTTATCATCTCAACCGATTGTTCTGCTTCTGCAATCCCTTATCTCACCATCAAAATATTTAGCTGTCATTTAAGTTTATTTCTACTGTTTGCTTCAGTGGCCTCAGGCAATTTATTCCAGATGTGTCTTGTTCTGTATATAATCGGCAACCTGTTTAATGTTACTTTCCTGATTTTCAGAAAGCAGGTGGTTTTGGAAACCCCTTCTAGTCTGGCTCTGTCTTATATCAAACCCTCTCATAATTCTGAATACCCCGGTAAGGTCACTTTGAAGTCCCTTTGCTTCTTCACATTCAAATAGGACCCCTAGCTCAAGACTTCTCTTTTAAACCATGCATTCAGCCTGAACGCTCTACCTTGGGGCCAGCTGTGGAGCAGTAACATCTAGAAGGGCATGTTTCCAAATACCAGGTCCAAAATAGGTTTTGATTCTGTTGTCTATTCAACAGACTGTCTAATGAAGCAGTCTTGCACAATGCTGCCCCCTCTATCTGCATGTTTCTCTCAAAATTGGTGCAATTGTTATTTAAATAGATATGAATAATTAACAGAGGCCACCCTGCCATCTATGATCAATCATCTGGCTTTTCTGTTTTCACAGGCTTCTTTTTACCTGTAATTTTCCTGCGCTTGTCTCCTTGAAGTGCTTAGGCACAACAATGATGAATTGCACTTCAGTCTGTGCTGTGTCCAAGGAATCTCTCTGTCATTTAGCTACCCCGATTCAGGGCCCAATCATGAAAGGTAAGATGATCTGCAAAGAAAAAAAAATACTTTCCTCCTTCTTTGTCATGTATAAAAAGTCTGGAAGGTTTTTCTTTTCCTCCCTACTTTTTACCGTAGAAATATCAGTAATGTCAAATCTAGTTTTCCTTGTTTTTTTTTTCTGAGAACTCACTGACTATCCTAAATGGGTGTGGGGAGTTTTCTCAGCCCTGTGAAGGGTCAGACAACTGAGTCTGTAATACATGGATTTTCTGACTGCTTATCAAGTTTGTGAGTTCAATAGGTGTTAGTAAAAACAGGCGAATAAAAATCACTTCCTCCCTCATTTAACAGGTTTCACTTATTTGGTACCTGAGATGTCATAGTCCTACTAGCTCTCTGGTTTTCCATAGAGACATCCATGTTAAAAAGGGTTTACAGGACATGGATGTCTAATGTGAAAAACATTCAGGAAAAAAAACCCATCTTAGAAACGATTCAGGGAACTGACATCACCCATGGCTGCTTACATTTAGGGTTGAGCTTGGGGAAGGCTGTGAGATCTGCCACTATTGGTCCAAAACACTGAATTAAAAAAACAGTCTCAGGGACTGAAAAATCCTTTTACCAATAATTCTGTGGAAATGGACATCAGGGGAGATCCTGCCAGCCTGGCAAAGGCGGCCAGATGACTTTCCTGACAGAGAAAAGACTCAGGGTCAGGTTGTTAGCTGGTGTAAAGCTAGCTAATCTATTGAATTCAATGGAGCTCTGCAGATTTACACCATCTGAGAATCTGACCCTCAGAATCAGAAGTTTCTGGCTAAAGGGGGCAAAATACACTATTGTGTGCTTATGTTCAGCCTGATACAAATAGGTATTACAGGCGAAAGGTCTTTTTTCCAAAAAAGAATTCAACTAGATGTTTTGAAATATCAAATGGAAGTCAACGTGGCTCAGAAAAACAAAGACTTTACCTTTCCAGGTCTTGCATTTATAACAATAATCCACACTCTGGATTTATATAATCCCTTTCATCCAAGGATTTGAAAGCCCTATAAAAACTAAAACTCACACCTAGATGATTATCCCAATTCTACCAATGGAGAAACTCAGGCACAGGAACTTGTTTATTCAAGGCCTAAATCCCATTTTTAAAAGTGAGTTATGCCCATAGGACCCTAAATCTCATTAAAAGTCAGTAGGATTTAGGCTCCTCAATACCTAAGGGCCAGCTCCTCAAAGATATTTAGGAACCTGACTCCCCACTGATTTCAATTGGTAGTTAGATGCCTAAATACCTTTGATTGAGCATCTGGGCCTAAGTCACTTTTGGAAAAAGGATTTAGGCTCCTAAATTCACTTCGGTACTTTTGAAAACTTTAACCTGGATCTCCTGCTCTAAAAATTTCCACGGGATCTCCATGTTTCTATATCAACTTAATACCATCAGAGCTCTGTCTGGTAATAGCATTTCAGATGCCTGTAGAGTGAGATCTCTGAGCAGAGGCACCTATATACAGCTTCCATGCTCTGTACTTAGGTCCGCTTCTACTCCCCCAGGCATTTGCCATGCAAAATATCAAGACAACAGCTGCAGGTTTTGGAAAGGCCCCATCCACTCTGTAAACTAGCAGCCTGACAACCACCAAACACTTCAATAGAAACCCAAACATTGACTAGGCAGGTGGTGCTACTGGGCAGGATTGGGAGCAGCTTGGATAGCATGATACCTGCCACCATTATACATAACCACCTATTGAAGTGTATTTTAAAAATATAGAAAAAGGGCATTTATCAGATTGAATATACTGTGTGAATGATGGCTTAGCAAAGCCATGGGAGATTTGAGAGGATTCCCTGACCATAAGATGACTTTTACTTTTCAGACACTTAAATAGCACCTTTCATCTGAGGCTCTTAAAGCACTTTCCAAAGGTGGGTAATTTAGATCCACATTTTTACAGATGGGGAAATTGAGGCACAAAGCAGTTATGCCAACATCTTAAAAAACAGCCTGTGATTTGGGATGGGGCTCCATTTCTGATTCCCTAGCCTGAGACTTTTGGGGCCTGATTTTTAAACGGGCTGAGTACCCATAGCTCCCGTTGACTTTCAGTTTGTATATGAGGTTGTCAGTGCCTCTGAAAACCAGGATCCGAGGCCTTTCAATCTGGGTTCCCAAAATCTGAGGAACACAAAATCAGAGGCCAGTTTTGAAAACATGGGCAAGGTTACAGAGAAAGAGGAACTCAGATCTCCTAGCTCCCAGTCTAGTGTTGGAATGTGACCGGTCAGCTTTTTGGAAAATTATCTCTCAAAATTGCAAGAAGAATGAAGAGTTAAGAACAATTCTTGATCATCTGGGAAGCATTTCCAAGACCTGAATTTTCTCTCCTTCCCTGAGGAGGAGAGGATACATGCAATGAGTCATTTTGAGAGGCTGAAATACAGAACTGACTGTAGAATAGTGACATCTGCTGGCCAATGCTGGGGGCATTTCCCCTCTGCTGGCGAAACATTTCTATGGTTCTCTCCGAAAACAAACAGCAACAGACAGGCACAAGCGCTAAAAATGGCATCTTGCTCACACTGCCACGTCAGGGCTCCTGCCAGATTCACATCATGCAGGCTGGTGCCACTTGCTCTATTGTAGTCTAAGTGAAATGTTAACCTGTGAAGATTAAGCAGGTTTTTCAAACAGGTTTTTAAATGTATGGGACAGTTCTTCATTTTGCTAGCACCTTCTTTTACTTTTTGCATGCCACCAGTTTAATCCATCTGTTTTTAATCTGATACGTTGCTTCACATTCATGCTTCCAAATGCAAAGTATTTGGCCAAGAGCTGGGCTGCTTCTCTTCCATGGGGACCCTTTTCTAAGGAGATTATTTTGATAAATATTTGTATTCAGTGTGCTCCAGCCCCAAACTCCTCAAGGGAAATATATTGGTGTTCTAAGCAACAAATCTGGAGACTCCAAAAATCCACAGCATCAAATCCTGGCCCTTTATCCTTCCAAAGTAGAGAAACTGAGTCCCGTACAATTTACCAAGGAAAATTTTTTTTTAATTAAAAAGAAGACATCCTGCTTGCTGTGTTTAGACATTACAGATTCTGTGGCTCTTCTGGAAGAGCAGGGGGTGGTTCCCAACGGCCCTTGCCAATATTTCTTCTTGCTCCTTTTGTTCTTGTGTGCTGGGTTGTTGCCATGTCCCCCCACCATGTTCCCCCCCCACCACACACACACCAAGAAGTGCCGCATTGCTACATTCCAATGGCTTGTGAAGAACTTTAGGCTCCCTTGGATTAAAGGTACTATATAAATACCAATTCACTAGAAATATTATTAA